AAGCAGTGGTATCAACGCAGAGTACTCTTCTGGCTCTGGTAAATCTTCTGGTTCAAAAAATTCTTATACTGCTGATGATGCAGCTGACGACCTAAAAGAAATCTTAAATGATATTGAAGATTATGAAAAGGATATTGAAGCGGATTTAATTGACCAAACAGAAGAGTTAATCAATCAGTATAACTTAGAACGTAATAAATTAAATACATTAAAAGAAGAATTAGATTATTATGATGGAATTTATGACGTAACAGAAAAAACAACAAAATGGCTAGAAACTCAATTAAAAATTCTTGATGAAGAATCTAGAAAAGTTTCAGAAATGCAAAAGGCTGAAGAAAAAATAAATGCACAAAGAGAAAAAATATATTCTGAAAATTCTAATTATGATGTACGTTCTTGGTTTGATTCTGAAGGGAAACGAAACATTGGCTTATGGAAATGTTATTAATAGCATTGAATCTCAAAAAGAACAGGTGAAAAAAAGATATTGCCGCCCGTATGAGAGATGTTTATAATAGTGTTTCTGGAAGTACTGATAAGAAAGCTATTTCTGATGCAAAAGAAAAAATAAAAATCATTAAAGAAGAAGGCGAACTAAGAATAAAAGACCTTGATAAAGAAAGAAAAAAGGTTGAAAATATCTATAGTAGCGTAGAATCTTTAAATGAAGCATGGAAAGAAAACCAAGAAGCGATAAGAGAATCTTTGACGGAACTTCAAGAAAGAGTGAAATCTATCAGAGATGAGTTAATTGACGACATTATGGAACAACTTGAACGTGCTGTAGACAAAATGAATACAAGTATTGAAAAAGATGTAACCAGATTAGAACAATTAAAACAAGTGCAAACATCTTATAATAATTTGTTGAATGATACTTTAGATACTCAACAGGAATTAGCTGATGAATTAAAAATCAATATGGACACTTATCAATATCTTGATGAAGATATGAGAAAACTAATGTTTAATGAAGATGATTACAAACAATTAAATAGTGTTCTTAAAGGTGTTCAACAAGACATTGCTAATATTTGGGAAGACCATTATAATCAAATTCAAAATTTAACAGAAGACGAAATGTATAAAGCAGAGTATATTACAAATGAAACAGAAAGACAATTGGCTGCAAAAGAAAAGGAATATGCTTTAGCAAAAGCAGAGCTAGATGTTGCAAAAGCACAAACTAACTTACAAAATGTTTTTAAATGAAAGAAACACAAGAATGTTTATAAATGGTCAATGGACGTGGGTTAGCAACCCTAGTGACATTAAATCGGCGGGAAAGAGCAGTTATTAGATGCACAGCGTGAAAAGACAAAGATTGAACGTGAATCTGAGCAACAATTGTTAATTGATGCAATGGACAGGATAATAGACTCAGATAATCTTCAAATTGATAAGAATAATGACTTGTTAGAAAAGATTCAAGAGGCAATAGAGAGAGAAATTGAAGAAGTAAAATCTGTTGAAGAGGCTTTAATGAATGCAGAGGGAGCAAATTTACCACAATTAACTTCTACTTTGATTGGAGCATTAGGTTCTGATGGTGGTTATATGAAAGAATTGCTTGGAGAGATAAACCACTCTCAAGTAGAACTTGCAGCAGCATTAAGAGGACAAACTGTTGAACAAGCAATAAGTCAATTAAAGTCTGGTAATATGAGTGAGACAGAATTTAGAAGTCTAGTTAGCAGATTAGGATTTAGTTTTAATGAAGCAACTGGAATGATAACAACTCAAGATGGAAGTTTTGCAGCTCATTATGCTGGATGGGTAGCACAATCTTTAGTAGATGCACAAACTACAACTGCAATAAATGGAGTTCAAGTAACTGATTTTGGTAGTGGTTCTGGAGAGAATTTAAATAATTCAAATTCTGGAGGAGCGTCTTCTGCATCAGGATTCCCTAGAGAAGGTCATGTTTCAACTTCAAGTTTACCACTAAGAATACGTTCTGGAGCAGGAACTAATTATAAAATATTAGGAACAATGCCAAAAGGAGCGGCTGTAACAATAATTAGTGATGGAGTTGATGGTTGGGCACAAGTTTCTTATAATGGAATTAATGGTTGGGCTTCAAAACAATATTTAACATATGATAGAGGTGGAATTGCAAATGGTTTAGGATTATTAGAAAAAGCAACTCTTGAACCAGAGCGTGTTTTATCTCCAAGACAAACAAAAGCATTTGAGAATTTAGTAAACAATTTAACAACAAATCCAGTATTAAATGCATTAAGTAAAACTCCAAGTTTTACTTCAAGATTTGACAAATTATCTGGAAGTACAAGCAGTAGTAAAAATTATTATTTTAGTGACTTTACTGTTCAAGCAGATGATATAAAACAATTTATAGAAAGTATTGAAACAATGATGCCTATGAATAAGTAGGCTCATTGTTTTTTTAAAAAAAGAAAGGAGGAGCGATTTAAATGGGGTTATATCAACCTTCTTTTATGATTCCAAGAAATCAAGCAATAGATGCAACTAATGAAAAAGATATGACATTTAGTTTTAAATTAAATGGAAACAATCCATTAGTTGCATATAATATACAAATATTTAACAATGATACTAATGAACTCGTATATGAATTAGTAAGTACAAAAAATCAAAGAGAAATTCAAAAAAAAATAACTGAAATATCTGGTTGGATAGACAATCAAAATGCAAAATTAGTAAAGATAGATACTTCTGAAGAACAATATAAGTCAAGCAATATAAAATCAAACTTCCGTCAATCATTAAGAACAAATGTTTCAAAGAATAAAAATAATTATATGAGAATGGAAGAAATTTTAGATAAAAAGAAACAGGGGGAAAACATTAACTCAATCTGAAATATCTAAATATTTTGAATATTGGGAAGTTATTTTAATTGACTTAAAAACATATATTGGAGATGCAGATAATCCTTTACAAAATAGTGGAGAATATATATTAGACCAAATTGAAAATTGGGCAAATGTAGACCCAGCTAGAACAGATGGGGTAGAATACAAAGATTCAAATAAAAAAATTGTAAACACTAGTGCTTTTGATACAGTAAAGGCAACTTATGAAAACTTGAAAGTCTATTTTGAAAATGTTCAAAAGGCTAGACAAACTGCTGGAGCGTCTGATACAACATACATTAGTGATACAACATTACAAAAAGCAAAACAAAGCTTATATTTGTCTTATTCTGAATTTTCTGATGAACCATATTATAATAAAGATTTATATAATGCAATAAATACAATGTGGAATAATTTAAACTTTAACAAGTTAAGAAAAGACGTAGAATCATATACAAACAAATGGGAGAAGAACGAAGTTTCACAACAAGAATATGCTTTGGCTCATTTAAATGGAGGGGAAAACAGAGCAAAATACTTATTTATATAGTTCTCCTACGGCTACTCCAGCAAATATAATTTTTTCTATTTCTAAAGGAGAAAGTATTGCTGTAATAGTTGGAGAGCAAAATCCTCCAACTGGATGGTATTATACTTCTTATAAAGGGAATAAAGGTTATATACAAACAAAAGATGTAAAAATGTATAATATTCAAAATGGGAAGTATTATCTAGAAAGCCCAATATACCCAACAAATTATGAAGGAGAGCAAAATACCGTATCTCATAGTCTTCCAATAGATATATTACAAAATGGAAAGTCTTATAAGTGGTCAGCAACATTATATTGGAGTTCTTCAGGGAAGTATAATGAAGACTCTAGTATTGACGGAGTATTAACAAGTGTAGAAAATTATTTTGATACAAGAAAATTACCAAAAATAGGTATTAAAAATTATAAAGAAATTTTTAGTATTCCTTTTAATTACGTTAAAGTAAAAGAAAATATTACATTTAAGGATGACGATGGAAAATTTCAAACAATTACAAAAGAAAGTAATGTTAGAATAATTACTTTAACAGAAGGAGACGAAAACCAAGCAAAAATTGAATATATAAACGACAAAACAAATGTTTCTTACGTTACAGTAGTTCCAGTAAGCAAATTAAGTAGTTTAGGCTTATATAACACTTCTACAAACTATGTTCTTCCATCAAAAAAGGCAAGTTTTATAGGATATTATGAGCAAGAACAATTTGTGTCAATGTCTTATTTTAGATGGGTTTTATATAAATTGCAAAATGATACAGAAAAAATTGTAGAGGTAGTAAAAGATACTGGGATGGTTCCAAGTGTTGATTTTCAATTCTTTTATGATGGTTTTTTAAATGACGAAAAATATGCAATACAAATATTCGTACAGACTTTAGATAATGTTGAAGTTCAAACGGATTTAATTAAATTTAAAGTATCATATATTAGTTATGAAATTGAAAATATGATAAATGCAGAAAATAGCCCTATTGAACATGGAATAATTGTAGAATGGTCAAATTTAAGACTTATTCAAGGAACTATTGAAGGGAAATATCATTATGAAAAAAATATACCAACCCAAGATAAAACAGCTTTAACATTGGAAAAAGGAGCTGAATTAGTATTTGATAAAGATAAAGGACAACCATTATCAATAGATTGGGATGCAAATCAAATTTTATGTACGAGATTTGATGAAGATAGACCAACAGAAAAACAAAATTATTATACAGCATCAGGATTAGATGACAATGGTGAAATTTTAACAAAAACTTTAGAGGGTATTCCACTTTCTAATACTCAAGATACTGGAGAAATTATTTTAAGATATACAGTTCAAAATGCCAAAAATATTCAATATTATGACCAAAAAATAATAGCATCTCCGTTATATTGGTATATTATAATAATGAAAAAAAGATGGATTTGTAGTATATACAAAATATGCACAAGGATTATTCCCAGCTCTAGACCAATATCCAAATCTTAATAAGTTTACTAAAGCTTATGGGTTATATCCAGATGCATTAACTTACTTAGAAGAACCAAGCGATAGGGTAGAATATAACTATCAAACAATTATAGATAGAGATGGAAATCCAAAAGAATAAATGAAGAAAGGATGTGATAAAAATGGCAGCTACGATAAACAAAATTGAACTTCGTGGAGCACAAACTATTGATTATTTATGGATTACAAATACAGAAATGACCTCTAGTTGGGGAAAACATTCTTTCTAGGGCAGACTATGAACCAAGTTGGGACATAAATACTCAATTTTTAGCAAAATTTAATGAAAACTTAAATGCAGGAAATGCTGGAGAATTAGCTGGAAATACACTTAAAGGATGGAAGATATATAAGCAAGATATGTCTGGTTCTACATTAAAGTTTGTTAAAACTTTAGCTCCAGAAGAAATTTTTATAGTTGACTATAATGTAAAATGGGGACAAGAGTATAAATATTATATGTTTCCAGATTATGAAGAAGCAATGGGGTCTCCTTTTGTTTCAAGTGCCGTTAGAGCTTGCTGGACAGATTGGATTTTGTTAATGTGTAGAGAGGGAGACAATAAAAATGAATTTGCAGTAGAAGAATCATTTTTGTTTCAACTAAATACGACAAGTGGGCAAATGAATAATAATGCAGATGTAAATGTATATAAAACATATCATAGATATCCTAAAGTTGTAAAAGGACAATCAAATTATTTAAGCGGACAATTGTCTAGTTTAGTAGGATATATGGGAGAAACAAATGGAGAACTTCAATATATTGAAAGATTGGATATGATTGATAGGCTAACGAGTTTAAACACAGATAATAGAAGAAAATTCTTAAAAGATAAAAAAGGTCATGTCTGGGAAGTTGAATTAACAATTCCTACAACTTTAGAGTATATGGAAAATGTAGCAACACAGCCTGTAACTGGAGGAATTGGTTGGACAGAAATTGCCTCTACGGAAAATATATCAATTTATAATGGAAACGAAAGAGAGTTGTGGTTATTAACTACAACTGGAAGTCCAGAATATAATGTTAAATATATTTGGATTGATACAGAGTATTGGACTCCAAGTAAATATTGGACTGAAGATGGACATCCAGTTAAACCAACATATTTTGAACAACAACAGATTGATACATCTGATGCTACTGCATTTGACGAAGATATTTTAGCTGGAAAAACTGCTTATGCAAGAGGAGAGAAAGTAGTTGGAACACTAAGTGTTTTTGTTGATGAAAATGAATATAATACTTTAATTAATTTAGCAAAAGATATTGAAGGAGGAGTCGGCTAAAGCGGCTCTTCTTTTAAACAAAGGAGGATTTATGGCAGAGGATTTAGAGAAAATCTTAAAAAATATTCAAAAAGACAAAAATAATAATTTGCTTCCTAAGAATCTAAAAAAGGGAGTAAAATGTTTAGGAATAGTTGGTCAAGGAGAATATGGAGTTGACACAAAAGATGCAACTGCAACAAAAGATGATATTATTGAAGGAGCAACTGCCTACTCTCAAGATAAAAAAATAATTGGAACTATTCCAAATAATGGAGAATTAAACTATACTCCTTCAATAGAAATTCAAAACATCCCGAAAGGATATACTTTAGGAGGAACAATTTCTCCAGTTACAAAAGATATAGATAAAAATATAAAAGCTGAAAATATTAGACAAGGAATTACTATATTGGGTGTAGAAGGAACTCAAATAGCAACAGAAGATGCAAATATTACTCCACAACATGTATTAAGTGATAAAATAGCTTATGGAAATAATGAAAAGATTATAGGAACTATGCCAAATAATGGAGAATTAAATTACATACCTTCAAATGTTAATCAAACAATCCCAGAAGGATATACTTCTGGAGGAAACATAAATGGAGATGAAAACCTTATAAGAGAAAACATAAAACAGGGAATTTCTATTTTTGGTGTTGAGGGAACTTTAGCTGACACATCAGATGCAACAGCTAAAGATGTTGATTTAATGGAAGGAAAAACAGCTTACGTTAATAATGAAAAAATTACTGGAACAATAAAAAATAATGGTGAACTAGAAATAAATCCTACAACAAATTATCAAATAATTCCAGAGGGATATACTTCTGGAGGTTATGTAGCTGCAGTTACAAACAGTATAGATGCAAATATTGTTTCTAATAATATCAAAGAAGGTGTTACTATATTAGGAATTGAAGGTAATCTAAGGGACACTTCTGATGCTACCGCAAAAAATACAGATATTTTAAGTGGAGAAATTGCTTATGTTGATAATGTTAGATTAGAAGGAACTATGCAAAATAATGGAGAATTAAACTATACTCCTTCAAATGTTAATCAAACAATTCCAGAAGGATATACCTCTGGAGGGATTGTAGTTGGAGATGAAAACTTAACTCCAACAAATATAAGATTAGGGACAACAATTTTTGGAATAGAAGGAAATTTGGAACCAGATAAACCAGACCAAGATAAAGACGCAGTACCTAGCACGGAAGAACAAGTTATTAGGGCTGATATAGGCTATGAACTAGCATCAGTTACGATAGCTCCAGTAACTAAAGATATAGATGAAAATATAGTGTCAATAAATATAAAAGAAGGCACATCTATATTAGGTGTAGAAGGTCTTTTAAAAGATACTAAAGATGGAACTGCAACAAGTGATAAAATATTTAAAGGTGAAGTTGCATATGTAAATAATGAAAGAATAGTTGGAACTATGCCAAACAAAGGAAATCTAGTAATTACTCCTTCTGTCGAAGAACAAACACTTACAGAAGGATATATATCTGGAGGAACTATTAATGCTGTAACAAGCGACATAGATGAAAACATTATTGGAGAAAATATAAAAGAAGGAACTACTATTCTTGGAGTAGCAGGAACTTTTAAAGGAATTGATACATCTGACGCTACTGCAACAGAAGAAGATATTGTTGCAGGCACAAGTGCTTATGTAAATGGAGAAAAATTAGAAGGAACATTAGAAAAAACAAATTCTTTGGTTCAAGATGTTGAAGATATAGGTGGGGTTTATTATAGAGATAGAGCTGTAAGTTTTGTAAAGCACCAAGATAAAACAATTGCTGTTGAAAAAGATGGCTTTAGTACTTTAGTTGCAAGTGACGATATGGTAGCAAATGTAATAGATTTGACTGCTGACAAAATAAAAGAGGGAGAAACTATATTAGGAATTGAAGGTTCTTTTAAAGGAATAGATACATCAGACGCTACTGCAACGGCAAACCAAATATTAGAAAATGAAACAGCTTATGTAAATGGAGAAAAAGTTACTGGAACAATGAGTAACAATGGAGCTTTAGATTATGAACCTAGCACTTCATTACAAAGTATTCCAGCAGGATATACAATGGGAGGTCTGATTCAACCAGTAACAAGTAGTATAGATTCAAATATTCAACCAGAAAACATAAAAAAGGGAACATTTATTTTGGGAATAGAAGGTATTTTAGAAGAGGGTGCAAGTGAAGAATTAATAGAAAAAGTAAATGAACAAACTTTGATAATTGAAAAACTAGAACAAGATTTAGAAGACAAGACAATAAATTCTGCAACTGAAATAGATAACATAATAGAAGTTGATACTGATATTCAATATTCAGCAAGTGTCTCATCTTCAACAATATATAGATATCATTTAGAAAATGGAGATATTATTTTTTCAGACCAAAATTCAAAAAAAATATATGTCTTCAAACAAGAAGACAAAAGTGTAACTTTAATTTCAAATGGTATTTCAAAATCAAGCTTTGTTTATTATTTTTTTGAGAGTAAAGATTATTTGTTTATTTTTGGACAGATTGATAAAAATACTGGGTCGGACACTCAAAAGACGTTTTTTAAAATAAGTAAAATGGATTATTCTGTAGAAGAGAATGAATTTCCAATGACATACAGTTTTGTTTTTTATGATGACGATTGGAATATTGTTGTCTTTAAGAGGGAAGATGAAGAAGAGCTTGTAGATGGATATGGTTTTTATAGAATTTCGTATGAAACTGGAGAAGTAGAGTTTTTCCCATCTTCTATTTCTATGGTTGTTGGAAATCGTGTTGTATATCCAGTAAAAAAAACATCTTTTTATCCAAGTACTTGTTTTAATACAAATATGAGACGAAATATTCTTCAACATAAACACTTTTATATTTTTTCTTGGGGAGTATATGATATTTTGGGTAAAGAAATGTACTTTTTATCAAGCTCATACACATATCCAACAACAATAAGTTATATTGAACGCAAAGCAATAACAATTGCAGATAGAGATTTTGTAATATTTTATACGACAAGTAATTCATATAAGGGACTGATTGTATTTGACTGTCAAGAAAAAAGATTTATTCAAGTTTCGTCAGATTATTGCCTTCGTTTTGATATTTGTAAATTTAATAATAATTTTTATATGTTGTTTTATAATTCAACACAGGCACAATGGCAAATAAAGAATTTGTCTGATACAAGTGCGGCAACATCTGTTTCAACAATAGTGACATATACTTCTGCAAAAATTATTGGGACAGATATAGGATTTTTTATATTTAAAGCGGCATCTTCTGGAACAGATAAAAAATTTATAATATTAAATCCAGAAACTTTAGAATACGAAAGTTTATATAATTCAATTACAGATTCAAATCTAAAAGGAATAAGTGATTTATCTTTAGTAAGAACACAGACTGACTGGTTGTTTAGAGTGAGTACAACATCAACAACAAACGGATGGTATTTTAAGACAAATGAAAAAAAATTTGTTAATATTGGATATACTATGTCTACATCAAGCTTATTTTTACAAAATGCGGATGTTTTTACAAAACAGTATGGGATTGGAATGCTTAGATATAATAATGAAACAAAAGAAGTAGTGTCATTCAATCTTTTATCATATAGTTCACAAGTAGAAACAGCTTTTTATGAATTTGATGATTATTATTTGGCTGTAAATAGAACTGGAGCAATAATTTTTTATAAAAATACGGCAGGACAATATGACACTATATTTTACAACAATACTCAAACTAATCCAACTCAGAAATTTGTTGCAATAGAAAACTTTTTTATTTTTTATGGAACTAAAAACATAATATATAATAGAACAACAAAAGAAAAAATAGAGTTTGAAAAAAGTATTCTTAATGAAGATAATTTATTTGTAAATGGTGAGGACATAATGTATCTAGAAAACGATACAATATACAATTTATCACAAAATAGTAAAATAGTATATGAGAATGTACTTACTTTAGGTTTATCTGGATTGTATTGTTATAAAAAATACTGTGTTTCTAAAAGTTTGATAGCTCCATTTTTTGTTTTTCTTCTTTTGTTTTGTTTATTTTTTTATCTAAAATTTCTTGTTTTGTTATTATTCTATAATCCTCTATTATTCCTTCAGAATTTGATTCTTGTTCAATATATTCATTGACTTTCTTTACAAAATCATCACACTCTGTTTGAGTTTTAAAATAATAGATTGTATCATCATCCTTAAATTGTAATTTAGTACACAATACAGAAACATTTAGACTATTTATAAAAATTTCTTTTAATTTTTCATCATCAATATTTTTTTTAGGGATTATTGAAAGGCTTTGTAAATATTTTGCATTTATAGAAGAATCTATTATATTAAAATCTTCTTCTTTAATCTTATTCAATTGTTCTTCAATAACTTTTTCTAAAAAACTTTTTTCTTGTGTTACTCCTACAATTACAGTTTGATGATTTTTTATCTCATAATATCTATATCCTAAACCGAAATTACTAAAAATAAAAATCCCTAAACTTGTTAAAATTGTAACTATAATAATTATTAAAATAAATATTTTCCTTAAATTTTTTTGTACCCTCTCTTTAAGAGAGAGGTGGTTATTTTTTATTTCCATTTTTTCCTCTTTTCCAGATATATTATTATATCTTATTTTGGTGGAGTATATTGGTCTATATTGTAAATTACTCCACCTATTTTTACTTTTATGCTATTGATTTTAGTTAAATCGTTTCCTCCTAATTTAACATAAGCTCTCAAATGTTTTATATTATTACTTATTTTACCAACAGTCATTCCATCTGTATATATTTCTACTGATGGAAAACTTACCCAATTTGATGTTTTACCATAAGAATTTTTTGCTTGAATTTGCAATATAACCCTTTGTCCATCTATTGCTTGCGGAGTAAATGTATAAGAAGTTACATTACTTCCTTGAAAAGGTAATGATATATAACTTCCACCATTATCAACACTATATCGTAAATTATAACCAGACAAACTTCCACTCCTAGCCGTAGATGCCGACCAAGTATATTTTAAGCTTGTATTTGGTTTTACTTTTGTAGATGATACATTTCTACTTCCGTGGGTCAGTTGGATTATTTATGTAAATTGAAACTATTGCACTATTCCAGTCAGAATACCCTAAATGTCCATCATATGTTCTGATTTGATATTGAATTTTATAACTCTCATTAGCAGTTCCAGTTATAGATTTAGGACTTCCTGCGCTATAACTAGTAGTATTTGAATCTACAACAGTTGTCCAACCTCCCCAAGACGAACCATTATAAATCCTTCTTTGCATTTGATATTTTGATATTCCTTCACTACCTGCTCTAGCTCCAGACCAAGTTATATTAAATGCACTATCAACCTCCATTGAAGATGGGACGTTAAATATAGATGGAGCACTAGGTCTTGAATATATATGAAAATAGTCTCCCCAATAAGTATGTCCCCACCAAGTTCCATCAGTTGTATTAAGACCAACTCTTATTCTTATATTTTCTCCTCCAGATAAACCCAAAGAAGACAAATTAACACTATTAGCATTACCACTTCCAGAACTTGTCACAACACCGCCAACATTTTGAGAGAATCCCCAATTGTCCTTTGATGCATCAATACTATATTGATATATAGTAAAAGTTCCAGATGTTGCACCACTCCACCAAACATTAAATAATGGAGAATCTTTATCTAACCAAGTAGAACCATTTGTTCCTATTGCACCTACCGAATTTGGTAAAGTTGGATTTACTGTAAGTTGTGGCAAATATAGACTTCCACTAGCGCTTGGATTATTTGCTAAATATCCACCTTTATATACATCTCTCCAAACAATTCCACTAGAAAATCCAAATCCTATATTGGCTTCTCCAGTATGCCAAACTATAACATCTCCTTCTCCAATTGTTTCGTCATAATCTGCACTTCCTGTATTAATAGCTCCATGACTAGCTGTTCCACTTTGGTCATGAACCCACCAATTAAAAGAGAATGCTCCAACAGATAAACTTCTATGATGTATAAATAATCTCCAATGAACCTTGTGGTAATTACTTCCAGTTTCAACAATATCTGCATACATTTTAATATAAAAATAATTAGCATGATATGAACTACATTCTGCCATTTTTTACACCATCCTTTTAATATACTAAATATACAGTTCCATTTGCAACCCTAGATTTGTCTAATGAATTATAAGCTGATTGAGATATAATTCTAATATCTTGTATTGAATCATCTCCACTAAAAATTAATTTTTCAAGTCCAGATAAATCAGTTAATTTTGTTGGAACACTTATATTTGTTGTAACATTTCCACTACCATCAAATGTTTTAATTGTTGCTCCATTCTTTTGGATGGTTAAAGTTCCTTTTGTTCTGTCTGCAGATTCTGCATTAGCAACCTTACCTTCACTAGTCACAAATCCAGAATTATTTATTAAATCCGATGTTTTTGTTGGAATTGGTAAATCTATATTATTATCTACTTTTGCAACTCTTTCTCCATTTACAGAAATTGTTAAATAATCTTTCCCAATAATAATATATTCTAAATTTCTATCAACATCTATATCCCAATCAATAAATTGGATTATATCGCTTTCTTCACCTTTTATTCCAACTTCATTATATTCTGTTCCTAAACATAATAAAATATCATCTACATAAATCAATAATTTATTTTCTCCAACAATATATTTATCTTCTAATTGATAATTGGTATTTTTTGGGATAACTGCAGTTCTAGTATTTGCAGGAAATGTTTTTCTTATTACATTTACTGGCAAATCAAAATTCTTGCTTGAACTTTCAATTAACATTCTAGTATTCATCGTATCCAAATACATATTAGCTTTTGTTGTAATGTAAACTGTTCCGTGGAACTAATCCTTTATGATTTTCTAAATATTCTTCTGTTGTAAAAACACTTCTAAAAGGCATTTGTGTTTCACTTTCTTTATTTGGGTCGTAAGCCTCATAAGTAAAGTTTATAGTTTGATTACTAAATACACTTGGATTTGCAAAATTTCCAGAAGAAGCAAATGTCACCGAACCTTTAAATTCGCTTTCGTT